GGAGCCAATCCGGCGCTCCCAAGCAGTGCACCATGGGTCCGTGGCTGTTTGTTTTTGATTGGCCGGCGAGCCCTTTCAAAGCGGCTCCGCGCGGCCCGTAGCTTGGTGCAGAGGCGAGGGCGAGGGAGTTTGCATTGGGTTGGCTTGGCAATGGCTGCCTGCTAGCAACGAACTGGGATTGGATTCATTCCTTGCTGCTGTGAGTGCTGCTTGCTTCATTTGCTGTCTCTTGCCTGTGTTTGGTCCACATTTGGGCCATTTTTTGGTTAATTTTCCATTTTAAAATATTTTTAATATTATTTTTTAATATTATTTTTTAATATTATTTTTTTATTTTAATATTAATATTATTTTTTAATATTATTTTTAATATTATTTTTTAATATTATTCTTAAAAAATATTCTAAAAAAGAAAAGACTCTTCTGTTGGTGTGTGCTCTCATTTGCTGTATCCTGCCTGTGTTTGGTCCACATTTGGGCCATTTTTTGGTTAATTTTCCATTTTAAAATATTTTTTAATATTATTTTAATATTATTCTTAAGAAATACAAAAAATATTCTAAAAATTCGTTAATATTTACAAAATTTCTTAAATACCAAAACTTTTTTGGGGGGAAAGTTTTGTAATTATTTTAAATATCGAAACAAAAAAACACCCCAATTACAAATCGATTTTAGAAACAAATTTTTTCTTGATCAAACAGGCCTAATAGATAGAGTGATTGGTTGGGGGAGGGGCACCAAAATACTGTTTGCTTACCATTGAAAATTACCTAGGGCCACCTCTGTATACGTCCTATAGAAAAGACATGACAGCGCACGACAGAACACTGCTCAAAGATTATTCTTTTCATATTGTTGAACCCACTTAGACCTACATGCCTAAGTGGGCTATGTGGATTTTTAGAAGAAGCAATGCTATGGGTCAGTACTTATGAGTAAAAAGTTGATCAGATAACTCCTCCGGATGAAATTATTGTCTGCACAGCGTGAGGAAAAAAGAAATTAATATAATTGGGCTGATGTTCTTTATCTTCTTCTTCGAGTTCTCCTTGAATCTCATTATACATTTCTAACACTGGGGAGTGGAGGACAGAGAAAACAAGTGGATTGCTGCTCCGGTTTTCAGCTTCTGCCTCAGTTTGATGGGATTGTTTTGATCTTGGTTGTCGCACAAAAGAATGGAAGAAAAGGCTTCTTAAGAAGAACAAAGCCAGCTCGGGGTATTATCTAAGCTTTGAGCCTGCAATTAGGTCACATAAATAGTTTATTGAAGAACATAGTTTCGCATAGACTGTACTTATGCCCTGCTTTCCCCTTCTCGTCTAAATCACAAACAGGACATAGGCAACAGCCATTCTTTACAGCCAAAATAAACACATTTTCTTAAACATTGAACTGGGCATGAGAAGTTACAAGCATGCCCTATTGAGTAAGTACTTACTTACTTACTTAGGCGATCCCTCGTTGTCCGAGTAGGATAGTCTTCCAAGATTAGTGTACTGGTGGGTCCGTAGGTGACTGTGGAGCCCTATTCTTGATCTGCATGTTCTCCCGCAGAGAGGGCATTGGTTTCCAGGTGGAAGGCGGTCCCAGTCAGGATTGGCTTGACACTAGGGCTGGGCGGTTTGGTTTCGTAATTTCGTAATTCGTTAAAATATCGTTATTTTTTGGGTTACAAAGTGATAACGAACCATTCAGGAGCATCTAAAAAATTTTTCAATTCATTTCGTTATTGCTTCGTATTTTTTGTATTCGTTTCGTCATTGTTTTGAAATCGTTTCGTTATTATTTCCGCATGTCTGGGGCAAGTTGTATAGTTGTTGTTTGTTTAATCAGTGAAAAAAAATTATAAATATCACACCAACAGTCAACAACAGAGGGAGAGGGAAGCTTCAGAAGTTCCCCCTGTCCTATATGGAGGTTTTTTAGCGTATTGCGCGGTCGCGTCCGCCATTAACGAATCGATTCGTATTCGTTTCGTATTCGTTTCGTATTGTTTCGTAATTTTACGAAATTTCGTAAATATCGAACTTTTTTAAAGAAAAATTTCGGAATTCTTTTAAATATCGAAACGCAAAAAACCCCAAAAAACGAATCGAGTTTAGAAACAAATTTTTCCGTGGTTGCCCAGCCCTACTTGACACGCCTACCTCTTGGCATATCCTTCCAACCCTGCTATATGCCTGCGAAACATGGACTGTCTACAGACATCACATGCAACTCCTACAATGATTCCATCAGCACTGCCTCCAAAAAATCTTGCAAATCTCTTGGGAAGAGAGACAAATATCAGCGTGCTGGAAGAAGCAAAGACCACCAGCGTTGAAGCGATGCTCCTCCGCCATCAACTCCACAGGACTGGCCACATTGTCCAGATGCCCAACCACCGTCTCCCAAAGCAGTTGCTCTACTCCGAACTCAAGAATGGAAAACGGAATGTCGGTGGGCAAGAAAAGAGATTTAAAGATGGGCTCAAAGCCAACCTTAAAAACTCTGGCATAGACACAGAGAACTGGGAAGCCCTGGCCCTTGACTGCTCCACTTGGAGGTCAGCTATGACCAGCAGTGCTGCAGAATTTGAGGAGGCACGAGTGGAGGGCGAAAGAGAGAAACGTGCCAAGAGAAAAGCGCGTCAAGCCAATCCCAACCGAGACCACCTTCCACCTGGAAACCAATGCCCTCAATGCGGAAGAAGATGCAGAACAGGAATAGGGCTCCACAGCCACATACGAACCCACAAGAATGTTGGAAGACAATCATCCTCGGAAAACGAGGGATTGCCTAAGTAAGCTAGCAAAAAAAAGTGTGCAGTGCCTTTAAATCTCTCCTTGCTTCTGCCTCACCCTCGGAACATATATAGCATGCCTACTTTGTGGATTTTCACTTTTTGTGCGTGGTTCTGGAACGTAACACCCACGATAGGTGAGGGAACACTGTATACTTGTTAATGATTACCACCTCACCCACCTCATAGGAAACCTGCTACAAAACAGGAGCTTTTTTGTTGAGTTCCAGGGCCAAAGAAGCAGATGGAGAAAACAGAAGAACGGCCTGCCTCAGGGGAGCGTGCTTGCTCCATCCATGTTCAACATTTACACAAATGACAAGCCATTGCTACTGTAAACCACCGCCTCCTCCTGAGAAATATGTATAATATCACAAAGGACGACCACCTCACCCGCCTCATAGGAAACCTGCTACAAAACAGGAGCTTTTTTGTTGAGTTCCAGGGCCAGAGAAGCAGATAGAGAAAACAGAAGAACGGCCTGCCTCAGAGGAGCGTGCTTGCTCCATCCATGTTCAACATTTACACAAATGACCAGCCACTGCCAGAAGGGACAGAGAGCTTCATCTATACTGATGATCGTGCCATCACCACCCAAGCAGGGAGCTTTGAGATGATTGAACAGAAGCTCTCTGAAGCTCTAGGTGCTCTTACTGCCATTATATGGAAAACCAGCTGATCCCTAACCCATCTAAAACACAGACTTGTGCTTTTCACCTTAAGAACAGACAAGCATCCCGAGCTCTGAGGATCACCTGGGAAGGAATCCCACTGGAGCATTGCAGCGCACCCAAATACCTGGGAGTCACTCTGGACCGTGCTCTGACCTACAAGAAGCACTGCCTGAATATCAACCAAAAAGTGGGTGCTAGAAACAATATTGTACAAAAGCTGACTGGCACAACCTGGGGATCATAACCAGACACAGTGAAGACATCTGCCCCTGTGCTGTGCTACTCTGCTGCTGAGTACACATGCCCAGTGTGGAACACATCTCACCACGCTAAAACAGTGGATGTGGCTCTTAATGAGACATGCCGCATTATCACAGGGTGTCTGCGCCCTACACCACGGGAGAAATTACACTGCTTAGCTGGTATTGCACCACCTGACATCTGCTGGAGAGTAGCAGCCAATAGTGAAAAGACCAAGGCAGAGACATCTCCAGCTCATCCCCTGTTTGGATATCAGCCAGCACATCAACGACTTAAATCAAGACATAGTTTTCTTAGATCTACAAAGACACTCGCTGGAACACCTCAGCAAGCGAGAGTCCAAAAGTGGCAGGCTCAAACCCAGAACCTGATACCAAATGAGAGACTCCCCCTGCGCACACAGAAGACTGGGTGACTTGGAAGGCGCTGAACAGACTGCGCTCTGGCATCACGAGATGCAGAGCCAACCTTCAGAAATGGGGCCACAAAGTTGAATCCACGACATGCGAGTGCGGAGAAGAGCAAACTACAGACCACCTGCTACAATGCAACCTGCCACATGCACAAGGGAGGACCTTCTTGCAGCAACACCAGTGGCACTCCAAGTGGCCAGATACTGGTCAAAGGACATTTAATCAACTACGAAGCTTGCAAACTTTGTGTTTTGTTCGTTTGTTTGTTTGCTTGTTTGTTAAAAAATGCCATACAACTGTTTAATCTGCTCCTGACACGGTAAACAATACTAGGATGCCTCTTCCCCTACTCTATGCTTGTGCTCTTCTAAGCAGGGCTGGATCAATCCACAACGATCTACAACAAGTCATTCTGAAGAGACTATGTACACAATTCCTTGATATATTTATCGAGTCATCACCAACCAGTCAATTATATTACATTTCTAACAGAACAAAGCAAACAAACAGACAAATACACAAATACAAAATGCAGAATACAGAATACATGGTATCACCCATGGATTGAGGTGCTGGGTTTGAGCCTGCCACTTTTGGACTCTCGCTTGCTGAGGTGTTCCAGCAAGTGTCTCTGTAGATCTTAGAAAACTATTATTAGATTTAAGTCGTTGATGTGCTGGCTGATACCCAATTCCATGACGTTTCACAAGCACATATTATTAAACATCTGTTGCAATAAATTCCACTGCCACCCTTGAGAAAGCAGCCAATAGATTTGCATGTAATCACACTCAACAACAAACCATGCTTATTTCATTCACCACCACCACCACCCTTGACCCTTCTTCCTGAAAAGGAACTTACCCAGCTGGATATCGATAAAGGTAGTCTGGTTCTCCACTGGGTATAAAGGCTGAGGTGGTCTCTTAGTGACTAAAGCTAGGAAAGAAAAAGGAGACAAAAGAGGAACGGGGAAAAATTAGACCAGACTGCAGGACGTTGCTTTTAAGCCAATCTAAACAGCTGCTGGAAAGAACTAAATTGCTTAGAGAGTAAAACATAGAGTCAACCCTTTGAGTGGATCCCAACCTTTTTTTGACCAGGGACTTCTTTGACCAGAGTCTATTTTGACCAGGAACCACTTTCTAGCATTAGTACAAAAAAGGGTTACGAATCAGCTTTTGGTCAACTTTAGTACTACCTAGGCTTGGGCAATAACTTGTATGCAGAACACATCATGCGATGTGCGGGGCTTGATGAATGCAAGGCTGGGGTGAAAATTGCTGGAAGAAACATTAACAACCTCAGATATGCAGATGACACCACTCTGATGGCCGAAAGCGAGGAGGAGCTGAGGAGCCTTCTAATCAAGGTGAAAGAAGAAAGCGCAAAAGCTGGGTTGCAGCTAAACATCAAAAAAACCAAGATGATGGCAACAAGAATGATTGACAACTGGAAAATAGAGGGAGAAAACGTGGAGGCCGTGACAGACTTTGTATTTCTAGGTGCAAAGATTACTGCAGATGCAGACTGTGGCCAGGAAATCAGAAGACGCTTCCTTCTTGGGAGGAGAGCAATGTCCAGTCTCGATAAAATAGTCAAGAGTAGAGACATCAGACTGGCAACCAAGATCCATTGCCTAGTCAAAGCCATGGTATTCCCTGTAGTCACCTACGGATGTGAGAGCTGGACCTTAGGGAAGGCTGAGCGAAGGAAGAGAGATGCTTTTGAGCTGTGGTGTTGAGGAAAGTTCTGAGAGTGCCTTGGACTGCGAGAAGACCCAACCAGTCCATCCAGGAAATAAAGTCTTACTGCTCACTGGAGAGAAGGATATTAGAGGCAAAGATTAAGTACTTTGGCCACATAATGAGAAGGAAGGAAAGCTTGGAGAAGATAATGATGCTGGGGAAAATGGAAGGAAAAAGGAAGAGGGGCCAATCAAGGGCAAGATGGATGGATGGCATCTTGAAGTGAGTGGCTTGACCTTAAAGAAGCTAAGGGTGGTGACAGCTTACAGGGAGCTCTGGCTTGGGCTGGTCATAGATCAAGAGGAAGTTATGGTCTTTTATATATATATATATAAGGCTTGGGCGGTTTCGTTCGTTAATTTCGTAATTCGTTATTAATTCGTATTTAAATTAGCTTACGATCCAATATTGAGCCATGCAGGAATAGTGTGAGGAGTAAATTAGATTCAAAACCATTTTTTCAATTTATTTCGTAATTATTTTGTTATTATTTCGTAATTATTTCGAAATTATTTCGTAATTATTTCTTAATTATTTTCGCATGTCTGGTGCAAGTTTTATAGTTGTTGTTTGTTTTATCACACCAACAGTCAACAACAGAGGGAGAGGGAAGCTTCAGAAGTTCCCCCTGTCCCATTTGGAGGGTTTTTTTAGCATATTGCGCAATCGCGTCCGCCATTAACGAATCGATTCGTAATTTTACGAAATTTTGTATATTTCAAATTTTTTAAAAGGAAAATTTCGGAATTCTTAAAAAAAACGAAATGCAAGGGCCCCCTAAAAACAAAATGAGTTTAGAACCAAATTTTTCTGTGGTTACCCAAGCCTAGTACTTCCTCATTCTTTTGCATGCTGCTGGAGAGTTTTATGGCGTTGTAAATTAGTTAAACTAGCCTCCCTGCATAAGTTTCTAAATTTCCTATTTGTCAGATGCAACTGTCTTTCGGGCTGCAAAGGTCGACAGCAAGATAGACAAATGGTCAGGAGCTTACTCCGACCCCAGCTGGCTTCGAACTCTTGACTTTTAGGTCAGTAGTGATTTTAATGCAGCTGACTCCCAAACAGTGGCACCACAACCCGGTCCATAATAATACTAATAATACTAATACTAATAATAATTTATAATAATAATAATACTTTATTTGTACCCCGCTGTCATCTCCCCAAGGGACTCGGTGCGGCTTACATGAGGCTGAGCCCAAAACACAACAATACAAGCAATTAAAATAAAAACATAAACAATAAACATATAACATTATCAATAAGACAACATACAATTAAAACTGTGGGAAGGCCAAATGTAAAATTAAAATTGGAAATAGTGCTGAAACATGGACGAAAAGGTGATAGTGGTGTTTGTGGAAAGACATACGAGCAGACCTAAAAATGTAAAGTGCTTTGGAGGGACAAAGTGCTATGGGATCATTATTCCGGGAAGGCACACTGGAACAACCATGTCTTCAAGCTCCTCCTAAAGACTGCCAGGGTTGGGGCCTGCCTGATGTCCTTAGGGAGTGAGTTCCAGAGTCGAGGGGCCACCACTGAAAAGGCTCTCTCTCTCGTCCCCACCAATCACGCCTGTGATGCTGGTGGGATCGAGAGCAGGGCCTCTCCAGATGATCGAAGAGATCGTGTGGGTTCGTACACAGAGATGCGGTCACGCAGGTAGGCGGGTCCCAAACCGTTCAGGGCTTTGTAGGTAAGAACCTGCACCTTGAATTGGGACCGGAAATGAATGGCAGCCAGTGGAGCTCCTTAAACAGGAGGGTTGACCGCTCCCTGTAAGGAGCCCAGTTAACAACCTGGCTGCCGCCCGTTGGATCATCTGAAATTTCTGGGCCGTTTTCAAGGGCAGCCCCACGTAGAGTGCATTGCAGTAATCCAGTCTAGAGGTGACTAAGGCATGGACCACTTTGGCCAGATCCGCCTTCCCGAGGTATGGTCGCAGTTGGCGCACGAGTCTTAATTATGCAAAGGTCCTCCCGGCCACCACCGATGCCTGAGCCTCAAACGTAAGTGAAGAATCCAGGAGGACCCCCAAACTGCGGACCTGTGATTTCAGGGGGAGTGCAACCCCATCCAGCAGCTATGCAGATGACACACAACTCTACTACTCTTTTCCACCTAATTCCAAGGAAGCCCCTTGGGTGCTGGATGAGTGTCTGACCGCTGTGGCTGTCTGGATGAGGAAGAACAAGCTGAAGATCAATCCCGACAAGACAGAGGTCCTCCTGGTCGATCGTAAACCGGATCGGGGTATAGGGTGGCAACCTGTGCTGGACGGGGTTACACTCCCCCTGAAGTCACAGGTCCGCAGTTTGGGAGTCCTCTTGGATTCATCACTTACGCTTGAGGCTCAGGCGTCGGGAGATGGTAGCGGGGTACAAATAAATTATTATTATTATTATTATTATTATTATTATTATTATTATTGGCCTCATGTAAGCCGCACCGAGTCCCTTGGGGAGATGGTAGCGGAGTACAAATAAAGTATTATTATTATTATTATTATTATTATTATTATTATTATTGGCCTCATGTAAGCTGCACAGAGTCCCTTGGGGAGATGGTAGCGGGGTACAAATAAATTATTATTATTATTATTATTATTATTATTATTATTATTATTGGCCTCATGTAAGCCACACCGAGTCCCTTGGGGAGATGGTAGCGGAGTACAAATACATTATTATTATTATTATTATTATTATTATTATTATTATTATTGGCCTCATGTAAGCCACACCGAGTCCCTTGGGGAGATGGTAGCGGAGTACAAATACATTATTATTATTATTATTATTATTATTATTATTATTATTATTGGCCTCATGTAAGCTGCACAGAGTCCCTTGGGGAGATGGTAGCGGGGTACAAATAAAGTATTATTATTATTATTATTATTATTATTATTATTATTGGCCTCATGTAAGCCGCACCGAGTCCCTTGGGGAGATGGTAGCGGAGTACAAATACATTATTATTATTATTATTATTATTATTATTATTATTATTATTATTGGCCTCATGTAAGCTGCACAGAGTCCCTTGGGGAGATGGTAGCGGGGTACAAATAAATTATTATTATTATTATTATTATTATTATTATTATTATTTTGTGTCAGTAAAATAATAATAATAATAACTTATTAAAACAATGCAAAAACTATTAAAATCATGCAGAAGACTTCTGATTTCTTCTTGCCTGTAAGAATGGAAGAAGCAAAAATGTACATGCCTAAAATGCATTTCCGTCAGCAGTTAAATTCAGAAAATGGAAGCATTTTTCCCCACCAACCCAGATGTATGAACTTTCTAATGCACCTTCCCCAATGCCCTTCCAAGAAAATAACATTCTAATCTATATACCTATTAAGACCGGCCTTTCGGTGCCGACTAGCAATTACCTTCTACGCCAGATCCAAGTGATATACATTCAAAGGAAAAGTCCTGTTTACCCAGAGGCATCATGAAGGGATCTCGGAAGACTTATGGGGCTCACGTGCAGAATTTCAGTTGAGCCAAAAACGGGAAATTCCATTGCTAAGAATGCGGCCGCTCAAAAACTCCTCGTCCCAAACTCAAGCGCAGCAATTGACCCCAAGGCAACATCGGGGCCACCTCATGCAATTAGATTACTTTTGGATAAGCCTAGGAGTAGAAAATTGCTGGCAGGGAAAGAAAACAATCGATTGCTTTTGCTAATGCGCCCAGGGCCCCCGCATGGCATTAGAGAAAGAAGAGAGAGCTGTCAATGCCACTTAATCATTGCGTTATCTCTATTGAGAATTTCTAAAAAGCGGCATGCTGGATCATTGCACAATTCACAACGTCTAATGCCGTTGACATTGTTGATGGGGGGACTTTAGAGACCAATCACTAAGGTCTGATTCATGGGCCTGGAAATTGGCCCTGATCATCCACCAAGCTCAGAAAGTGCCAGCGAAGGATGCGGACTGTACTGAGAACACTTTGAGAAGCTAAACTGTGGATAATAGCAAACCTTATTGAAATGTGGAACTTCCCGCCTAAGAATACTATAGACAGGGGCGGCTCGTCCATTACGCGAAGTAAGTGGTCGCAGAACACTTTTTTTGCCAGGGGCGCAGAGGCGCCTCTGTAAATGCCCCTCGACCGCCACTTGAGGAGCGCCCCCTCAGCTCACAACAGCCCTAGCAGTCCGGGGGGCGC